TCTCCTCTTTCATTTCTGATTTTATTTATTTGAGCCTTCTCTTTTTTCTTGGTGAGTCTAGCTATTTGTCTATTTTGTTGATCTTTTCAAAGAACCAGCTCTTGGTTTTATTAATTTTTTCTATTTTTTTTTTTTAGTCTCTATTTCATTTATTTCTGATTTTATTTTTATTATTTCCTTCCTTCTACTGATTTTAGGCTTTGTTTGTTCTTCATTTTCCAGTTCCTTTGGGTGCACAGTTCCTTTGGGTACACTGTTAGCTTGTTTATTTGAGATTTTTCTTGTTTGTTGAGGTAGGCCTGTATTGCTGTAAACGTCCCTCTTAGAACGGCTTTTGCTATATCCCATAAATTTTAGCATGTCGTATTTTCATTTTCATCTGTCTCCAGGTATTTTTTGATTTCTCCTTTGATTTCTTTGTTGACCCAATAGTTGTTCAGTAGCATTTTGTTTAATCTCCACATATTTGTGGCTCTTCCAATTTTCTTCCTGTAGTTAATTGCTATTTTCTTACCATTGTGGTCAGAAAAGATGCTTGGTATTATTTCAGTCTTCTTAAATTTATTGAGACTTGTTTTATGGCCTAATATGTGATCTAGCCTGGAGAATGTTCCATGTACATTTGAAAAGAATGTGTGTTCTTTGGTTTTTGGGTGGAATGCCCTGTATATATCTACTAAGTCCATTTGGTCTAGTATGTCATTTAAGGCCAACGTTTCCTTATTGATCTTCTGTTCAGATGATCTGTCCATTGGTGTAAGTGGAGTGTTAAAGTCCCCTACTGTTATTGTGTTGCTGTCTATTTCTCCTTTTACGTCTGTTAATAATTGCTTTATATATTTAGGTTCTCCTATGATTTGTGCATAGATAGTTCACGTGTTAGGTCTTCTTGTTGGATTGTTCCCTTTATTATTATGTAGTGCCCTTCTTTGACTTTTTACAGTTTTTATTTTAAAGTCTATTTTGTCTGATATAATTATTGCTACTCTAGCTTTCTTTTCATTACCATTTGCATGGAGTATCTTTTTCCATCTCTTCACTTTCAGTTTGTAAGTGTCTTTAGGTCTGAAGTATGTCTCTTGTATGCAGCATATATATGGGTCTTGTTTTTTTATCCAATCAACCACCCTGTCTCTTTTGATTGGAGAATTTAGTCCACTGACATTTAAAGTAGCTATTGATAAGAATGTACTTACTGCCACTTTTTAACTTTTTTTTTGGGTGTTTTAGTAGTTCTCTGTTCCCTTTCTTCTTGTCTTGCTGTCTTCCCTTGTGGTTTGATGGCTTTCTTTAGTATTGTGCTTGGGTTCCTTTCTCTTAATTTTTTGTATATTTATTATAGGTTTCTGGTTTGTGATTACTGTGAAGTTCATATATGATAACCTACATATATTGCAGTCAATATTAAGTTGATGATGTCAAGTTTGACCTCTTGCTAAAAGCTCTACTCTTTTATTCCCCTCCTCCCACATTTTATGTTTTTGATATCATACTTAACCTCTTTTGTGTGTGTGTGTGTATATCCGTTACCCTCTTATCATGGAAAGAGATAATTTTAGTACTTTTGTCTTTTGACCTCCACGTTAGCTTCATTGGTGGTTGATCTGCTCCCTTTACTGTATATTTGCCTTTACCAGTGATTTTATTGTTTTGTTTTGTTTTGTTTTTGATAATTTTCTTAGTCCTATTTGTGGTCTTTTCTTTTGCACTTATATAAGTCCCTTTAGCATTTCTTGTAAGGCTGGTTTATTGGTGATAAACTCTTTTAGTTTGTGCTTGTCTAGAAAACTCTTTATCTTGCCTTCCATTCTGAATGAGAACCTTGCCGTGTAGAGTATTCTTGGCTGTAGGTTTTTTCCTTTCAGCACTTTAAATATATCGTGCCACTCCCTTCTAGCCTGTAAGGTTTCTGCTGAGAAGTCAGCTGATAACCTTATGGGGTTTCCTTTTTATGTAACTTGTTGCCTTTCTCTTGCAGATTTTAAGATTCTCTCTTTATCTTTAATTCTTGACATTTTGATTATAATGTGTCTTGGTGTGGGCCTCTTTGGGGTTCATCTTGTTGGGTGCTCTCTGTGCTTCTTGTACCTGGATATCTGTTTTCTTTCTTAGGTTAGGAAAATTTTCAGCTGTTATTTCTTCTGATAGATTCTCTGCCCCTTTGTCTCTCTCTTCTTTTTCTGGGACACCTACAATATGGATGTTAGTGTGCTTGATGTTGTCCCAGAGGTCTCTTAGACTGTCCTTGTTCTTTTTAATTCTTTTTTCTTTTCTGTTCAGCTTGAGTGATTTCCTCTAGTCTTTCATCCAGCTCACTGATCTGTTCTTCTGTATCATCTGTTCTGCTATTAAGTCTGTCTAGTGAATTTTTCATTTCCATTATTGTATTCTTCAGTTCTGATTGGTTTTTTTATATTGTCCAATTCTTTGTTGATGTTCTCACTGAATTCATGCATTCTTCTTCCAAGGTCAGTGAGCATCCTTATGACTATTAGTTTGTACTCTTTATCAGGTAGATTGTTTATCTCTGTTTCGTTTAGTTCTTTTTCTGAGGATTTGTCCTGTTCCCTTATTTGGAACATATTCTTTTGTCTCCTCATTTTGCCTCTTTTTCTGTATTTAAATCTATGTATTAGATAGATCAGCTACATCTCCTGCTCTTGGAGAAGTGGCCTTATATAAGAGATGCCTTATGAGGCCCAGCAGTGTGCTTCCCTTTAGTTACCAGTTCCAGATGTTCCAGGAGTGTCCCCTATATGGACTATGTGTGTCCTTCCGTTGTGGCAGGGTTGCTCTTGCTGCAGATGCCTGGGGAGGCTAGGCTGTCCCCCTGTCCAGCTGGTTGTAATGCTCAGCTGCATGAGGCTGCTGTGGTCCCTTCAGTCACTTTATCAGGCATGGGGAGCCCCACCACAGTTGGCTACAAGGTCTAATAGCACATTCTTGCTGCAATTTTTCTGATAAGTGAGTAGGCTCCCAGTGTGGCTGGTTGCTAGGCTCAGGGGCTTACAATTGCTCTAGGCCTCCGGCCTGCAAGTAGTGCAGCTGGGTGGGGCCAGCCCAGGTGTGGCAGCACACAGTTGTTTCAGGCATTGAAAGGTGAGGCCGATCCCCTGTGTGGCTGTTTGAGAAGCACAAGTCTTCTGCAGCTGACAAGCCCCACCACCTGCAGGCCCACACACTCTGTCGGTGCAATCCTGCCCTGTACGCACACCCCAGACCACTAAAGTGGACCCACTTACCCTGCTGCAGAGGCCCCATACCCTCTGCCAACGCAGGCCCACCCCCATGCACACCCTGCCTGGCAGAGGCAGACCCACTTGCCCTGCTGCAGAGGTCCCACATGCCCCACCTATGTGGGCCCACTGTTGGGTGGGGCCAGTCCCTAAGACCAGCTGCCTGTCCTAGCTGAGCTGGATTAAATCAGTGCTCTAGTGGGTGGGGCAAACCACTATGCTAACAGGTCAGGGGAAGAACTCCAATGGCGTCTGCCAGTGTGTCAGCACACTTTTACTAGGTCATAATAATGGCTGCCACCAATGTCTCAGTCTCTGGGGAGGCGGTCCCAGCCACCTCCTGCCTCACTGAGTTGCACCCAGAACCTATCAAGTGAGTCTCTTTTCAACAAAGGATTATGTACCTTTCTTTCTGGTGATTTTAGGTTGCTTTCCAAAATGGGTGAATTTGTGTGTGGGGCCTTTAAGAGTAAGCTTTTCTTTCTCTTATGTTGGATAGCTTTTCTGGGGGTATTCCCTGTTGTTGTTAATAGCCAGCAAAGCCAGTTATGACACTTGTCTTGGTTGTGCGGAGTTCAAAAACTGCTTATTGTGGCAAAGCTTTCCCACTCAGATCCCCCACTCCTCCAGGGAAAGCTTCGTAGCTTAAAATTGCTCCTAGCCATGAAGTGCCACAGCTGGAATGTGGCTTTTTCCTCTCCGGAACGGAATTTCTGCCTCTTCCACCTCAGTCAGCGCTGTCCCTTGTTGTGAGGGTTCTTTCTATCCATTTTCCCGTTCTCTCTCAGGGTAATTGTTCCAAAGGTAGTGGTAAATTTGTTGTGTCCATGGGAGGAGGTGAGTTCAGAGTCCTCCTATGCTTCCATCTTCCCAGCCTCCTCTCTAGCCTTAACAATTTTTTATGACTAGATTAAGATCCTTATGCATTTTTAACAGTATTTTTATATTGGTTACAAGAAAAATAATTTTTTTTGTTGGCTTTGGGGTACAGTAGGTATTTTGGGTTTATTTAATTGGTTTGATTCTTAAGATTCTTAGATGAACATGTTTAGAAATAAGGACTATTTGTTGTTCATTACATGGGGTTCTACATATGCTGTATTTCTTTTCTCTCTAGAATTAAAAAACACATCTGGCCTAATGTTCCAGATCCTTCAAAGAGTCATATTGCCCAGTGGTCACCTCACACACCTCCAAGAGTAAGACAAAATGTTTCTGACTTGTTTATAATACACAAGCATATTAGAATACATTTGTAGAGTTTGACCAAAAGATAATCAGACTGAATCAAAAAGTAAACAAAAAATAGTACATAAATGAAAATTTTAATCAAAGTTTTAAATAATACCTACATATTCAAGGAGTTTATCATCACAGCATATTTGTTCTGATATTCCTAATTTTATTCAGTAAACATTAAAAATATTTAAGTTTTCAGTTTGCAAGTTCGAAGTGTTAATACTGCTATGTGTTAACTGTGTTGTAAGGCAAGCATTTTGAATTGGATATTAAAATAAAATGTAACATTCTACCATTTTAACATTGATGAAATGATTTCTGGACTCCTACGCTAATATCTTTGAACTTCTCTTAAGAAGAAATGATTTGTATTTATTACCTTCTAATAATCCTTTAATTTTATATTAACAGATTAAAATGTGTTGTGTATTTTATATTCTATGAAACTTCAGTCCTTTTAGTCTGATTTTTCTTAATGTTTCCTAGTTTTTCCATCCAATTAATCCTACTCTAGGCACGAATGAAATATGAAATATTATTTATAGACTCTTAGCTTATCAAAATGTAACACCAACAATATTGATTTGGAATTCTGAGGACGTACAGCCTTATTTATACTTCTTAGAATCATTTCACAATGTCTGTGATTCAGGTACTTGACAGTGATTTAGTGATATAGATTATCTCTGCACCCTTGAAAGTTGCCGAAAAGTTTCAGAGATGCATTACCTCTGTGTCTTTACTTAATATTTGCTATATATATTTATTTCAGTGTTTCCAAATGAACATATACCAGGTATATAATCTTTTTTCTCTCTTTCTTAGCATAATTTTAATTCAAAAGATCAGATGTATTCAGATGGCAATTTCACTGATGTAAGTGTTGTGGAAATAGAAGCAAATGACAAAAAGACCTTTCCAGAAGATATGAAATCATTGGATCTATTCAAGAGGGAAAAAATCAGTACTGAAGGACACAGCAGTGGTATTGGAGGGTCTTCGTGCATGTCGTCTTCTAGGCCAAGCATTTCTAGCAGTGATGAAAATGAATCTGCACAAAACACTTCGAGCACTGTCCAGTATTCCACTGTGGTGCATAGTGGCTACAGACACCAGGTTCCTTCAGTCCAGGTCTTCTCAAGATCCGAGTCCACCCAGCCTTTGTTAGATTCCGAAGAAAGACCAGAAGATCTACAGCTAGTAGATAACGTAGAGGGCAGTGACGGCGTTTTGCCTAGGCAACAGTATTTCAAACAAAACTGCGGTCAACGTGAAACCAGTCCAGTTATTTCACATTTTGAAAGGTCAAAGCAAGGTTCATCAATCAATCAAGAAGATTTTGTTAGACTTAAACAGCAGCAGATTTCAGATCATATTTCACAGTCCAGTGGATCTGGGCAAATGAAAATGTTTCAGGAAGTTTCTACAGCAGCTTCTTTTGGTCCAGGTACTGAGGAGCAAGTAGAGAGATTTGAAACAGTTGGGATGGAGGCTGCGATTGATGAAGGAATGCCTAAAAGTTACTTACCACAGACTGTAAGACAAGGTGGCTATATGCCTCAGTGAAAGACTTGTTCTCTTACACAGCAGTACCTGTAAAGTAAAGCTAAAAATATTTTATCTGGAATTTCAGATAAAAATAATCTTCGCTCACTGAAGATGTTCATTTGCCCTTAAGGACAAAAATGTACTGTCCTCCCACATGGGCTATTTCCTTTCCAGAATATCTGGGATTCCACTTTAAGCACTACATAAACTGACTTCATCCTCTGAATAGCTGAATGACTTTGTGCTGTTTCAGGATGTTTGCACTGAAGAAAAATAGAAAGCTTGTCTGAAATTTATAAAGTAAAACTTTTTGCTTTGCTACCTAGAAAGCAGAGAGTATTTAAATAGTAAGCAGTGAGCACAGCTATACTGATTTTAGTGATCAAAATAGTCATCAAAGTGGCTTCAGGAGAGTTAATGTAAAAAATTAGGGGAGCAAAGTCTAGACCCTCTACTTCAGCTGCCAACATAATTTAAAAAGAGGTTCAGATGGCATTACTATATAAGCCCAGCTTTTGTTGTCTGACCAAAAAAACACAAAAAATTGGGCTCGTTTAAAATCATACCAACATATAAAATATTAGTTCTCTTCCATTGGTAATGATGCTGCCAGTTACTGGAGAAAAGGACTTCTGGAGTTTAACTTGGCAAATTAAAAGTATTAATTTTTGAATATTATATAATCTTAACAAAATTTTAACAATAATCAACAAATTTTCAAAAATTTTCTATCATTATTGACAATTATTGACAACCTCTTTGAAGATCCATTTCACAAACTCATTTGAGTGCCCAGATAAGAGCTAGGAATGAATACCACAAGCTATCTTAAGCATTTAAAATTCTTTGCCATTTATAAGAGCTTAAATTGTTAACGTTTTTGTTAACGTTTTTCTATATGTGTATATAAACATATTGACCCTTCTTGTTAAGACTTCCGAGAATTTGGTTGATGAAGCACTTTATACAATATGTCTTGGGCTTAAAATTGTGTTTTAATTTAATATGCTTTGTTTTTATTTCTGAATAGGCCAAGATCAAAAATGTTCTTTTTTCTACTAGGTGTTTGAAGCAAACTAAGAGGACTTGGGCAGTACTCAGAAAAACAAAACCCAACTCAAAAAATGTACATATTGATCTTAGTAAATATCACAGCAAATATCCTTATTGTAGAGGCACTTAATGAATAGTGTTTTAATACCTGCCAGTTCTGAGGTAGATAGAACTTAGTTTTACATTGTGATTTAGTTATATTTTAAACCTCTTTCCACATGTTCTGTTCTTCAGTGCAGAAGTGAGCCAGGCCTCCAGAGTTTAGTGCTAAACCCACTTTTGCGTTTATGCCATTTCCATTTGACAAGGAGGCAGGGGGCTAAAGATAGGAGCTGAGTAAGTGAGAAGTTGTCATAAATCATTAGTGGTTGACTACTGCTATCAAGTAAGTTTGGAGAAAATAGGTTTTGTTTTTCTGTGATATTTAAGTTACAGAAACCAGGCCAACGTTTGTAGAGGTTATTGAAGAATAAAAGGCTAAGAAAAATTGGTATACATTTACAGTTGAAATATGATTCTACTCATTACTCTCAAAATATTGTTCACATGAGACTTCCTATTATACTTTCTCCTTTGTATTCTTGCCTAATACTTTTCATGAGTTCTTTCACATATATGATCTTTGTGAGACAGAGCAGATGCTTTATTCTGATACATCCAGTTCTACTTTAGGCAAAACCAACATGAGATTTGTAGAATGACAGAATTAGAAGTAGATGAGGAAAATTAGGCACAGAGAGGTCAAGTAGGGACAGAGAGACCCCAGACTCACACTACAGGATAATGGCATCACCACCGTTTAAGTTGGTCGTCAAAAGCTGGTCCAAATCAGGACTAGATATGTGTCATGAAATTTATATTGATTACATTTTTTTATTTCCTCAAAATAAGTAGTCATGTTATTGTAATCATGTTTAGCTCTCACCTTCCTCTTACAAATAGCAGTGTTGTGAAGAATATTCTAGTGTGAAGTTTGTACATGGTTGGGGGGGCACTTTTAAAATGTGAACTCATGATCTAAGGGAATGAGAATGAAGAGTCATTTAAGAAAGGACATCGTATAACAAATTTGTCTGTTGAAACTTGTGTAGAACATGGTGCAGTGAGTGAATGCCTACCAGCCACAAGAGCACTTGGGACATTAAATTGTTACTGTGCAAAAATCCATTCAAGAAATAAATATGTATTTGGTCACTAATATGTAATATACATCTTTGCCCAGAAAGAGAAAAGCAACATGAAACTTACTTTCCTAAGGCATGTCTTAGAATAATCTATGTTTTGATGCATGTAAATTATATTTTAGGTAGGCAGAGAAACAAATCTGGTTTATGTGAAAATTAGTCTATATATGTTAGTGGATTTATTACTCATTAAATCTTTAGATCCAAAAATTTAAAGTAATGCACATCAGAAAACCGTCTCTTGGTGGACAAAACTAATTCACTCCTTCTGATGCAGTTGTCCTCTTGTAGGATTAAAAATAATAATCAAGCATATGTTATATGTACTGCTACTGTAATTTGACTATTAGTTGCTGGTGTCTTTCTTTGGTATCCTATCCCCATCCCTCATAAAGGCATGATGCTGAATAACTATTGGAGAACTATCCAACTTCAAACCCATTAAAATCTAAAAATTTAATCCCTTTTTAACATGGATCAGTCAGCACTCACAAACATAGCCAACATGTGAGTAGAAGCAGTAGGAAAAGCAAAATCATTCACGTTTTGTGTTCACATCTGTTCTCTACCTAGTTGTGCGTATAATTTCAACATTATTCCTTTTACGCATGTCAGCCAATGACCCTAGCTTATTGTGAAGTTAAAGGTTAATGAAGTTGAAATATACTTTTAAAACATTTATGAAAGCTCATAAAGTAGAACATCTAAAATAGCTTTATAAATAGAAATCAAATTTTAAAAGCTGTCTGTTTTCTACCCACACAGTTAACTAGTTAAAATCATGCCATAAATGTAGAAGTAGAATAATTATATAGAATTCCATGAAATGTTTCTATTACCTGGCACATATTGACCAAGTATAAAGTAGGTGAGCTCTTCTTCCATTCTGTTATATTTCACATCGTTCTCCTCTGTTTGGTTTTAAGAACAAATTTCTAAACCATACACTTCTGTTTCACTAGTTTTATTTTGTTGAAATGGGTAAAATGTCAAAATAATAAGCTATAGACAACTTAAAATTTCATTGTTAAAAATTATTGGGATAGGTTTCTGTTTTAGGTCATGTTCGAGTCTATTGCCCAGGTTAACATTACTTTGAAAAATTTTTTTTGCACTTTTCTGTAAATTAAGAGAATATGAAACCATAAAATAGCAAGGTATTTAGGTTTAGCCTAAAATTGTGTATTGTCATTGATTTCAAAGAAAGCAAAACTAGCAAACTTAGAGCCTAATTCTTCTTTGGACAGGTCCTTGACAGCAGTTCCTTTTCAGTCTACTCATAAACAGGGTTCAGATGTAAGACAAAACAAAACTTTCCAAAGCCGAATGTAATATCTTTTGGATTAATCTATTTTTTAATCATATATGCTACTAGTATGTGTGTTAGCATGATATTCTAGCATATGCTGCATTAAAAATAGAAGATAGCTCTGGGTGAGCTCTTCTGTTATCCACTTTTTCCTACATTTTTAAGGGTTTTTTGTAGTCAGCAGTTCCTTCAAATGGGTTAGTTTAACTTCGTTACCCAGTTGTTCTTTAAAGTTGATAGATGGTGATGAAAATGCATTTAAGGCCAATGGGGATAGATGGTCCAGGTCTTTTGTCCCTTAAACACAAACTTTGTCTGAATGATAACTACATGTTCCAGATGCTGTTACATGAATACCAACATGAGATCATCAGAAATAAAAGGATATATTAAAGGTGGATATTTGAAAATTCTTTAGTCTTAATGTATATGTATATTGAATAATATACTCAAAAAATAAGTGCAATTTGCTAGTACTACAGTACAGTGATTAGCATTAGGTGTGTCTCCTCTTTATATACTAGCTGTGTCCCATTTACTTCTAAGTGCAATCCCTTCAGGTTCACTTGCTGTTTTACCCCCATCTAATCTAACTTCACATAGAAGACTTGTCTAGAGAGAGTGATGTATGTATTTTTACCTTTGCAGTAAATTGCATGTGCTAATCGTAACCACAGCTAATGGTTTTTATGTTGACATAACTCTAAATGTTACTGTAAATGTTCTCCTATATATTAGCTCTAATCCTTTAAGTAAATTTAAATAAATTCTTATTCAGATTTTTTCTGTGTGGTCAGTACCATTTGATGTCGTTACATGTAATGTTTGAAGTAACAGTATTTATCCCTACTGATGTTGGGTCTTAGTGTAAACTAGATGCTTTATGAGGGTTCTGTGGCTTTTTACATGCTCCTTTAGCATAATGGAATAGGATTTAGAAGAAAATCAAGCTATGTTGGCCTTAATACTATATAGAATGGACTCAGAATTTACTCAAAGGTAAATTCCTTTACCAGTTTTCCACATTTACTAAGGTGAGTTCTGCAGTCCCAGCATCCTACCTCCTAGTGGATTTTTTTCCTACTGGGTTGACAAGGGACCAACCAAGTACAGAGGTGCTGTGCCATCTTGTGGCCTGTCTGTGCCCACACTCGGCTGGAGTCTAGTGCTTGTCACAGTGAGGCATGAAGCCAGCTTGATACATTGCTGGGTAGTAGTGTATGAAACTAACTTAGTCAACACTTCCACCTGGGAGAATATTTGAACCGTTAGATTTGCATATTGTGATTTTATCTAAACTATGCAGTGAGTCAAAAATAAATCCACAAACCAGGCAACAAGTTAACTTCATCCCTTCACATATATACTAAAGGTTATAGAAAGAATATCTTGGCTTTGGCCTGTATGTTCCTTTGTCTAAAATCTTATAGATGGCTATGAGGCTTACAAGCTCAGCCTGACTTCTTTGTGGTACCTCTTGTGGTACCCTAATTTATATATGGATTCAATCCATCCTGCTTTCAAAAAGATTACAGGGCTCACTCAGCATTGTGTTTCCCTAGCCTAGAGGCACAGAAACATTTTTGTTTAACTTTTGGTTTAAGCTTTTTTTTTTTTTTTTAAAGTAATATGAAACATTTCTTCCATACTTTCAGATTATAAACATAGAACTTAGTACAACAAACTGTGTGCGTGCTTTTACATGTTTAAGTCCGAGACTTTGGCTAGTTGAGAGAGTAAGCAGAAGGGCAGGAGAAAAGGAGAACTGGGGTAGAAAAAGGAAAGGGGAGGAAGCAGAGGGACGGTAAATGGCTCTTGTGCCTGTAGCTGCTCACTTAGGCTGGCTCTTGGCTGACCTAGAAAGACCTTAGAAAGGGGACTTGGTTTCTCAACAGCTTAAAACAGTTCTATCTCCGTTAAGGGAGAAAAATCTACCTTTAAATTCAAAGTTTAACATTTATTTTTAGATTATAGTTCTTTTTTCTCAACTGCTAAAGGTTTTAACGAGATAGGAAGGCATAGCTTAGTTTTAGAAATCTGTGGACATTCAAAACCATTCTTTTACATTTATTCCTTGTGACTATGGTTATCTCATTTTATATGTCAGAAAATTGTAACTAGAATTCTTTCATCATTCTTGAACATTTTTTAGTTAAAAATTTTTCTTATTTTTACTTTTTTAAAATTATTTATATATTTGTATGAAATTGGAATCTTACTGGGATAACATGGTGAGATATATGATGGGAATCCTCATACACAAAAATAAAGTTGGGGCGGGGGGGAAGCAATGCAGATCAAGTGTTTCTCACTGCAGCTGCCTCGTCAGGCAGGGCTGTGGACAGTCCTTTCAAGAAAAAGTGGCCAGAGTGAGCGATCAGAAGTAGTTTATCTCCGAAAGCACTTGTTCAGACACTGAATGAGACCAACCTTATGACTCAGTCCAGGCCCCCTTTGCTAGAACAATCTTAATGGGTCCAAGATACAATCTGGATCCTCTCCCTATGAGAAATTGTTTTCCCTACAGTTTTGGCTATAGAAAAAGGCTGTTGACATGATAGCTTTTAAATGAATTAGTATAAATTTCTCTAGAATTGGTTCTAAAAGCTTCCAGGAAGGGGATCGTGCTTTTAAATGAATGGCTTAAAAGAGAATATGTAAGTAAAAGGATACTCTGGGGCACTGAACTTCTGACAATAGAAAACATAATCCTGCACAAACATTCAGAATGAAAAAGCAGTCACTCTTGGCTCTGGGTCAGAGTCCGTGTGGATTTTACCCCTTGTTCAGTCTAGACTTACAATACCTGGGCTGCACAGTGGCATCAGAGCCTAGGAAAGGACCTCTGAGAAAAATATAAGTTCCACTTTTAGGACTGTGACTAGAAATTGTTGGCTGCTCATGTTGCTGGAGTGAGGGGCTGTTCCCTGCATGCCCAAGACATTTTTGATCACCTACTGAGGGCCACATGCTGGGACAGGGTGTATCAAGGTGAATAAACACATGCCATCCATGGAATGTTTACATTGCGTCATTAAATCCTTAAAAATCTTTAGGAGATAAATATCAAAACCATTTACAGACTCATAGGCTCAGAGAGGTTGAACAACTTGCCTCAGGATCATATGGTTGACAAGTAGCAGAATGGGGTTCCAACGCTAATGTGACTCCAAAACCCACCTTCTGGGCTGTATACTCACTGGACCCAAGTGCTTTTAGCAAATACCTTGATGATCAGCATGCCCGAGGCCCGTGGCCGGTGGCCCATGGCCCACCTGTCGAGTCACACACTTCTAGTTCCCTCTCCTTTCTGAGTTTTCTCTCCCTCTCCTTATCTCTGCCTCCTGACCTCCCCACCATCATCTAGTGCCCTCAAGCTTCCCCCCTCGCCAACTGCCTACTTCTAAATGTGCTGAGCCTTGAGCCCAGAGCAGTGTTTCTTAGTCAGAATCTCTCCCTCTCTCTGCCCTCGTCTGAGCTCTGAAGCCTGGCCTCCCCGCAGCACATGCATTTGTTCTCACCACTTATGGCAACACCTAAAAGGGAGGTAAATATGTCCCACTTTCTTGAGCAGAATGCGTTATAACACAACTCCTACAGTCTCATTACTTTGGCCAAAGAAAAGATCCTCTGGGGTGGAATCTGGCCCCCTGCAGCTGGTGACAAAAGGATCTGGGGGCAGGGCACCCTCCCTAGGTGCTCAGATCACACTCCTGTGCCAGGTGGTTCTGCCACAGACTTCCCAGGTCTGCTGCCAAGTGCACGTACCCATCCCAGCCTGTCCCCCTCTGGAGCCTCTCCTCTGCAGTGTGGCTTCCAGCTGCATCTGCCCATCTTCTCCGATCCACTAAGGGGCAGCATTGGCAGCCCGAAGGGCCTGCTGCAGTCCAGCTGCTCTGACCACACCGCCCACATTTGCTTCTCAGGCTCCATGGTCTTTCCTGGTCCTGCTGTGCCTCTCTTTCAAGCTTCACATAGCCTCCTCTCCAGA